TCATACCTCATCAGCTATTAGACAGGACTGAAATTGTCACTGTTTCCAAATTACTGTGGTTATTATTCTAGTACTTCATAATGTCCAAATAAAATATTTTGATAGTCTACTTTTGAATTTTATTTTGTCTTTATATATTTATACACTCATTTTTTGTTTTTTAATTTATTTTTATTTAATGCTCATTGGTGTTTTGCCATGAGTGTCAATTTCCCTGAAATGGAGTTACAGTCTCTTCAGCCCCCCTCCCCCCCCCTTTTTTTTTTTTTTTTTTTTTTTTGGATTGGTTCACTTTGTAACCTAGGCTGGTCTTCAACTCTCTATTCAGATTACATTGACCTCAAATTTATGGCTGTCATCCTGCTTCAGCCTCCAGAGACTGGGATTATAGATGTGCTCTGCCATACCTAGTTTTTTAAAGTGTATTCTGATGAATTCCACAGGTTTTACCAAACTGACACAGGAATTTGACACTCTTTATGGGAAAGATTCCTTCTGTTAATCCTGTTCCCCTGTGAGAGCAAGCTAGGCATAGACCATAATCCTACACAGATCTTGTCATTTGATTCTGTATATAATTATGATATTACAGATTAAGTAACTTCTTCAGCCACATAGTGATTTTCACAAATTCAGGCAGAATAGTTAGAAGGTGATGTGCCACCAATTGTGTATCTTAATTTGACTTGGATTTTCTGGCCCTGTTTTCCCAGTAGGTTCACATCAGGAAATGTACTTCAAGTTTATTCAGACCTGTCTGTCTGAAAAATCCTTGCAAATTGGAAACACTTCCTTCCTTCATCCTGTTGTGATTAGAATATTAGTACTTATTCTATAAGCACTCTGTTACCTAGAAATCTCAACTGAGTGGAAGGGAGACAAGTGGTTTAATAATTATTCTAATTTGAGGAAAATCAAGGACGCATTTGGATATTGTATATTCCAACAAAAAACTCAGTAATTATTTTAATGACAACATAGTATAAGGTTTATATCATCAGCAATTAGGAAGGTTATTTAAAGGCTGGGCATGTGGTTCAATGGTTGAGTGCTTGCCTAGGGTTCAATGCATTTAACAATAAGCCCTCTACAAAAAGCTACACACAAGATACAAGAGTATCATGCTTGAACTGACAAAACTACAGTATTTACTTTTCTGGGTTGGGTTTATTTTATTCAGCTAGTGTCCTCTGGGTCCATCTATAACCAGATTTTATTTATTTAGGCTTAGTAATACTCTACTGCATGTACCATTAACGGACCTTTAGATTGTTTTTATGTCTTGACTATCTTAATTTTTAAATTACTTGTGTGGATGTGTGCAGGCCTATGTGCCACAGCATTCATGTGGAAGGCAGAGGACAACTTACCCTTGAAGATTCCAGGGATCAAACTGAGATGGCCACACTTGCTTCAAAGTACTTTTACTCACTTAGCCATCTCACCAGCCCTTGTCTTGCCTATTTTTGACCAATACTGCAAAGCATGTGGAAGTAAAGATATATCTTTGACTCCCAGAATCCTGTTCTTAGAAGTGTACATCCAGAGGTATGATGGTTGGATCAAATGGTAAATGTAGTCTTGATTTTTATTAATCTACATATTGTTTTCCATAGTAGCTAAACCATTAATAATAGTCTCCTATTAATATCACCTGGGCTTGGTGGTATGTGCTTTTAATCCCTGTATTCAGAAGGCAGGGGCAAGTAGAAGTTTGTAGAGACACGTTACACTTTGTGGTGTTTATGTAGTATGAATATTGTACATTCTATATATTTCTGAAGGTTGTGTTAGTCAGGTCTACTTTTAGTCAGAATTTAATCTACTGTTAATCAGAATTCTACTTTTCATAGATGTACCCCCCCCCTTTCTTGGGGAGGTGGAAGAGAAGTAGTAACTAAACCCAGAGCCCTGTGCATGTTAAGTTATATATTCTGCTACTGAGATTCATTTCCAGACTAATTCTCTCTCTCTCTCTCTCTCTCTCTCTCTCTCTCTCTGTGTGTGTGTGTGTGTGTGTGTGTGTGTTCATAGTCAGTTGAATGGTGCAAAAGAAGACAAAAGAACAGATTTCCTAGTCCTTGAAACCAGGAGGTTAACTTGGGGCCACTTCTTCCTTATAAGCCAAGAAACTAGATCAAAACAATTAAAAACAGGAGGCTGCCATGATAGCAGCTTTGTGGCTCTGAGGGCCTGAGTTTGAAGCCTAAACCTTGTTTATGCATAGTAATGTACACTGAACTTTTTTTAAATTTATTTTTATTTTATATACATTGGTGTTTTGCCTGCATGCATGTCTGTATGAGGGTGTTTGGGTCCCCTAGAACAGGAGTTACAGACAGCTGTGAGCTGCCATGTGGTTGCTGAGAATTGAACCCAGCTCCTTTGAAAGCAGCCATGCTCTTAACCACTAAGCCATTTCTCCAGCCCTAGATACTTTGTCTTTTTACATTCACAAACTAGCTGTTGTCCCCTTAGGAAATGGGAGTTAGGTTTGTTGTACATGTTGGTATGGAGAGTACAGGGAAATTAATACCATTTCCTAGGGGTTTTTAAAATAAATTTTCTCAGAGAGTTCAGGGCACGGGAGCTGGAATATAACTTTGGCTTCTAGATTTGCTTACTAAAATGCATTCATTACCCCCCCCCCATGTCTATGTGAGTGTGGATGCACTCAGAGCTGGATGGTTTAGTGTTTATGAAACAACCATCCAATATGGGTGTTGGCAATTGAACTCAGGTTCTTTGCAAGAGCAGTATGTGTTAACAACTGAGCCATGTTTCCAGCATGCTAGTATAATTTTGTTGTTGTTTTTGGTTGGGTGGGGCAGGGTCTTACTATGTAGTCTGCCTCTGCCTTCCAAGTGCTGCGATTAACAGTGTGAAATTATGCCTGGACATTTCGGCAGGTGGATCTCTATGAGTTAAAGGCCAACATGGTCTATACAGTTAGTTCCAGGACAGCCAGACCTACTTAGTGAGACCATATCTTGGAAAAAAAAAAAAAAAAAACAACAATAAAAACGCCTTGTTTCTGCTGTCAATTGAAAGTAGTAATGTAGCGCTTATTTCCTAGTGTCTGTTACCTGTTCTCCCTTCTCCCTTTTGGGTTTTTATAGTCAGTCACTGACCCAAGCATCCACCTCCTGAGTGTGCTGGTGCTTCTGGCATGCCCCTTGTCCTTAGAAGGCACATCTTCTAGTCACTCCTTCATATGCTTTTTAATCCCCTGTTACTTTTAACACATAAGCTGATGGGGCTACTGTACACTGTAAGAATAAAATCTTAAAAACTTGTTCTGTTGTTTAGTCTCTATTTTTAATGTGAAGTATGTATGTGTTCCCTTTTCCTGAACTCCAGATCTAGTCCTGGGATTTCCTTGGGGATAGAAAGAGAACTGCTGTGTAAGACAGAGGATTTTTTTAATCAGAATTTTTGTGAGTTGTAACATAATGGTTGTGATAAAATTTGTGTAAATCTGTTTCAGAGTTTTTTATTTTATCCCCCCGAACTATTTTGGATTCTCATTTACTTGTAGATCTTCTTAAAGTTACTTAAGTTGAAAATACAGATACTGTAGAAAAGATATTATTAACTTGATGAGGCAAGTCTTCGTGACTAAAAATTAGAACTGCCTTTTAATTGACAGATCTTAGCTGGCAGCTAAGGACAAAGTTTTATCACGTCCAGCACGTATTGCTGTTCTAGTCAGGGCTTGATGCGTTAAACAGCACTGCTCTATGTGTGTAGGTGTTATTCTGTATATGTAAATACTCTTCCTTGAAATGAATTAATCTTTTATGGTTAGAAGAAGGAAAAAGAACTGATGCCTGGAGTACCCATACTTAGCAGATTTAAATTTGATAGCATACCTAGCAAGAATAATCCAAAGGCTTGTATTCAGGTAGGACTTTTAAGTAAAAACAGTATTTTCCAAGAACTGGTACCTGAGGTCTTTCTCAACCCACCCCTGTTACAGAAGTGTGTGTAGCTTACTCTTCCCATTGCTCACTGAAGTAAAAATCTCGGGGCCTAAACTTGTGAATGCATAGCCAGAACTCCTTGGGGAGAGAGAGAAGGGAAGAAAGCAAACCCTAATGTTTTTCTTTTAGCTGGATTCTTAACATACATGTATATATGCATTAAACATGGAAGCAGAATGGAGATCGATTCATCATTTTAGTAGTTATTTGGAAAAAAATTTATGCTTGGAAAGAAGGTGGCTGGCTGGCGGGAATGGGGGTACAACTATGAGCAAGTTGTGTGAGAATGTCAGTGAAGCTTACTGTGTACACTGCTAACAATTGACGTGTAGGAAAAACCCTGTAATTCCAGCATTTATAAGATAAACATAGAATCAGGAGTTTGAAGTCAGCCTGGGCTGAATGCTCAGTCCTCACTCAAGGCAACTGATTTTTTTAAAAAAGATACTGGAAGAGCCACTAACCTTATTTCACATGGACGGTTCAAAGTGTCTTTTCTGTTTTCCTAGTTAAGTTAGGGTGGTTGTCACACTGATGGGTGTCTGCACATTTACTCCAACTGAAATCTGTTTCACTTACTTGGTTGTAGGACTAGCCATTTTAGAGTATCTGGTGTTTGTTTTCCATAGAGTGGATTGGTTAAATGTTCACTGCCCAATGCTGCTAAAGAGCCATTAAAACACACACACACACACACTCACACACAGAGAGAGAGAGAGAGAGAGAGAGGAGAGAATAAAGTACAAAGAAACAAAAGGGTAGAAACTAAAAACAGAAGACTAAGAGTAGGTCCATTGGAATTGTGGGAGTGACATACAGGGGTCTCATTATGTACCCTTCCCTGGCCTGAAACAGCAAAACCCAACAAGATAGTTCCTTTGTCACTCAGATGATTAAAAGGCATTCAGTGTGGTTCTGTATCAAGAGCCAAGCAAATATGTCTGTTACTGCAGAAAAAGGATTTGTAGAGGCTGTTTTGTTGCTGACATTTTTTTTTCTCATTTTTATATCCTTCAGATACTAGATTTGCACTGCATTTTGGGATTCATCTACACTTAAAATGCCACCTGCAATTGGAGGACCAGTTGGATATACCCCCCCAGATGGAGGCTGGGGGTGGGCAGTGGTAGTTGGAGCTTTCATTTCTATTGGCTTCTCTTATGCATTTCCCAAATCCATCACTGTCTTCTTTAAAGAAATTGAAGGTATATTCAATGCTACTACCAGTGAAGTGTCATGGATATCATCCATCATGTTGGCTGTCATGTATGCTGGAGGTGAGTACCCACGATGATCTGCTCTTTAACTTGAATTAGGCAGCCAGAGTCTATTCTTTGGTTGTTTTCTTTTGTTTTTCAAGACAAGGTTTCTCTGTGTAGCCCTGAAAGCCTGGAACTCACTCTGTGGACCAGGCTGCCCTCAAACTCAAGAGTTCACCTGCCTCTGCCTCCTGAGTGCTGAGTCTGTGTTTAATGTCTTACTCGTGAGGTCGGTGCATTGAGGCTGTGCTTGCTGAAGCTATGTATTGAGGAGTGTGCTTTCCACCCCTGATAACGCTGGCAGCTCTTCCTTCCTTCCTCCCATTATGGCGTTTTGGAACAGAAATGAATGTGTGAGGAGCTTGAGTGTTAGCTATGTTTTGAAAGCTCTGGTAAAATGACATGTGTGAACCTTGTTCCTCTTGCTCTCTGGCGGACAATTGAAAAGTAAAGCATCTTAAATATTGAGTTGCAAGATTTTAAAAAGTTAGTCAAATGTCTGGAATAATACAGTTAGTTCAAAGTCTCAAAGTCTCGGGTAAAATCTATAATTTAAGGACTGGGCTTGTCCCATAGGCACAAAGAGGTAAAGACAACTGACACCCCTGTTGGCTGGCATGCACACATATAGGTGTTCACACACCAAAAAAACCCAAAGCTGAGTAAAATCCTCCCTTGTTCCTATGATATTGTGAGTTTTAAAAGCATTTCGGCTATATTTAAAATTGAATTTTATCATCCCTCCCCCTTTTGTTTGCTTTGGCATGGTGTGGAGACTATGTAGAAAGTAAATTGCTTATTTAAAACACTGTATATTTTACTGGAGACATCAAACCACAAATGTAAAAGTTAAACCTACCATAAAACTTGAGGTTGTTTAGTAGGAATTCTGGACAGTGTTTTTTTGTTTGTTTGTTTAACCTGGGAGACAGTGTTCCATGTTGTCTTGTTAGATATCTAACAAGATGGTTTTTAGTAACAATTTAGTGTCTTGGATTACATTTACATGGAGCTCTTTAATAGCCAATGCAAAGACTCTATTATACATTTTAACTATGAATAACTTAGTTGGTATCAGCTTCAGCAGTTCTTACTAAGTCTCTTGGGTACATTCAGCTCTGGCTCCATGTTGTGAATATAGAGAACACAACATCTGGTATTCTTTTTGATGTAATAAGCCCACGAAACAGCACTGTGTAGTTGAAGTCCTAATTTAGTTAAACATAATTAAGTTGGTTGATTTGAAGAGGAATAAATGGACAGGAGCAGAAGTCTGAAGACCTGAATTTTCCTCCTGTACTTTTTTTTTTTTTTTTCCCCTTTAACTTTATTTATTTAAATGTGTGTGTTTTCTCTGTGTTTGCTTGTGTATTGTGTGAATTCCTGGTAACCGTGGAGGCCAGAAGAGGGCTTCATATCCCCTTGGACTGGAGTTACAGTTGGGTCTGAGCTGCCATTAGTGCCCAGGTTCTCAGAGAAGCCAGTGTTCTCACCCAGCTGCGCTGTCTCTCTAACAATCCTCTTTCTTTCTTTCTTGGCTGGCCATTGTATGTATGTATGTATGTATGTATGTATGTATGTATGTATGTATGTATGTATTGGTGTTGCCTAGAATAACCTGACTGGCCTCAGATCCTCTTGTCTCTGCGTCCTGAATTAAAGACTTTTCACTCTTGTCTTTAACTTTGTTAGCACAGATCTGTTTGGGCTATTTTAATATGTTCTAAGAGAAATTTTCAGAGCTAAATTATATCACTTTAAGATTTTTTGTTTTTATTTGTGTGTCTGTGTCTCTGATTTCGTGCATGTGGGTGTAGTGGCCTCAGAGGCCAGAAGACAAAATTGTATCCCTTGAAGTTGGAGATGTGGATAATTGTTAAACTGCCTAATGTGGGTACTGGGAACTGAACTCAGGTCTTCTAAAAGAGCAGCAAGTGCTCTTAGCCACATAGCTATCCCTCTGGCCCCAGACATTAAGGTTTTCAAGGGATAGTAGTCTTTAAGGCTTGGATTCTAATCTTCCAGGATCAATATAAGCAGATTTTGATTATGGTAGCCAAAAGAAATTGGTATAAACATCCAGAGGCAAACCAGAATGCCATTCATATGTTGTTCTTAGCTGCCAGAGCTTGGGTGTTGCTTGCATTTCCTCAGTGATGTCAATTGCACTAATTGTACATGATGCCTTCCTGTGGGGATGGTGGTTTCTTTGTTCTCACCCAGTTACATTTCTCTAAGTTCATGTGACAGTGGGCCTATTAACTATTTCTTTCTATTTTTGATGATAGTTAATTAGGACCATTCTTTTCTGAAATCACTAAATGACAGATTGCTTGTCATGAACTTTGGCAGGGTTCTTATAAAATGGGTTATTCTGTTCGATTGGTTTGTAAATCACTTACCCCTAAGAATTTTCATCACTTTACAACTGTCAGTCCTTTAACCTGTGCAGTCTGGTTTTTGTCTGCTTGCTGAAGCAGCGTGTCTCTAGCTGTGTAGACCAGGCTGATCTTAAAGTCACAGACATCCTCCTGCATCCGCCTCCACCACACCTGGCCAAATAGAAAATATTTTAGTGCTTTTGTTGTTTTTACCTTCTTGATATTTCAGATATTATAAAATTGATAACTCTAATTTTTAAACTTCATAGAACAACAGTATGGCAATATTTATTATAGGGTTTCATATGAAAATATTATACAGATATTCTATCAGTGTCCAGTATTTCCACCCTATATAAACCGTAAACTTAAAGTTTTCAAATGACCTGTGACTTCATGAAATGGCTCTTTTCATCAGAGCTTCTGAGGTCCTGTTCTTTGTAGCCAGTGCCTTCCAGCTACCTCACGTGACAGAAGGGAAGATTTTTTCCCTCAGGCCTCTTTCATAAAGACACGTAGTAGATTCATGAGACTTTGAACTACTTGTTTCCTAAAGTCCCTGGCTGTCAATACTCTTGCTTTTGGGTTGAATTTTAACATGAATTTTCCCCCCTCTGTGTGAGGAACCCAAAGCCTTGCTTATTTGCTGGAAGCAGGCAGGTTAGTACCCTATAATCATTCTTTCCACAAGTTCTTATCTATTAAGTGTGAAACTCAAGTGTTTTTATAAATAAATGAAATTGAATACCATTCATTTTATAATCAGCAAAAATTACTAGCTTCTTGTTTGAAGGAACCATGCCTCACACAAAAACATAAAATGCAATTATCAGGCTTATGAACCGTGGGAAGATGTACATCATTAGTTTTATTAAGAATTGTGTTATAAGACTGGAGATGTGACTTGATGGAGTCCTTACTCATCATGTGTGATAGCTTACATTTCTCTAATACTTAAAAAAAAAAAGAAAAAAATGGCAGTTTTATTTAGCTGGGCATTGATGGCACACACCTTTAATCCCAGCACTCAGGAGGCAGAGGCAGGTGGATCTCTATGAGTTCGAGGCCAGCCTGGTCTACAGAGCAAGTTCCAAAACAATACAGAGAAACCCTGTCTGAAAAATATAAATAAATAAATAATACAGTTTTAAAATATCATTTAATCTGTTCACATAGTTAGCCTATCGTTTAATTCCTGTTATTTCTTTTAGTTTTTTTGATGCAGGAACTCAGCCTAATCTGGCCTCAAACTTCCTGTATAGATGAGAATGACTGATTCTCCTGTCTGTTTCCATACTTCTGTAATTACAGGAGTACTTCTTGCCATTGCAATTGCAGCTTTGTGCTACTTATACCCATCTTCCTGCAAGCATTTCTTCACATTGGTACCATACAGGGTTAGAACCAAGTCATTTTAATATATTCAAACAGCTAGATTTGCAGGGAAATTTTTTCTCCTAGTTTGTCTTTTCTTGTATGAGAATTTATACTACTGTATTGTTTATTTCCTCTTAGGTCCTATCAGCAGTATCCTGGTGAATAAATATGGCAGCCGTCCAGTAATGATCGCTGGTGGCTGCTTGTCTGGTTGTGGCTTGATTGCAGCTTCTTTCTGTAACACAGTGCAGGAACTTTATTTGTGCATTGGTGTCATTGGAGGTGAGCGGCTACTGCTTAATGTCATATTTATTGTCACTATTTGATAATATACTGTCATTTTAGAGACTGCTGGTTAACTGATGGCTCAGTGGGTAAAGGAAGATCTTGAATCTCCCTTGACCCACATGGTTGATGTGAAGAATGAACCAACTCCACAGGGGTGGCCTCCATTCTCAAACCATGGCATAAGAGCATGCACACACATACACACACACACTATTTATTTGGTTGGTTTTTTGAGACGGTTTCTCTAACTATCTCAGCTGTCCTGGACCTTGCTTTGTAGATCAATCTGGCTGTAAAGTTATTTTGTTTTTTAAGAGGAATAAACTATTGCCATACAATATGTAGTTATTATTAATTTTAATTTGTGAGATAATTGCATTCTTTTAAGACTAGACAATGGTAGCAGGGCCAGGTGGTATATACACCTTTAATCCAAGCACTACAAGATACAGGCAGGCAGATTTCTGTGTTTGGGATAGCCAAGCCTACACAGAAAAACCCTGTCTCAACAAGCAAGAAGAATAGACAGGGTGAGATTAATTTATACTGTGATTCATGGAAGGGTCGCCATTGGTTCTCTCTTTATTTCTTTTTCCCAAGAGGAGTAGAGTTTTTGTTTGTTTAGTTTTTCAAAACTGGGTTACTTTGTGTAGCCCTGGCTGTTCTGTAACTTGATCTATAGACCAGGCTAGTCTTGAACTCAGATCTACCTGTCTCTGCTTCCTGAGTGCTAGGATTAAAGGTGTGTCTCACCACGTCCAGATGGGGATAAACTTTTAACTGGAATAGTGTGCTATGCAGGTAAGATTTCTGAAGGTTAAGGGTATTCATTTCTCTCTCTCTCTCTCTCTCTCTCTCTCTCTCTCTCTCTCTCTGTCAGTTTGTTTGTTTGTTTGTTTTGGTTTGGGTTTTTTTTTTTTTTTTTTTTTTTTTTTTGAGACAGGGTTTCTCTGCATTGCTTTCAGGCCTGTCCTGGAACTCACTCTGTAGACCAGGTTGGCCTCGAACTCACAGAGAACAACCTGCCTCTGCCTTCTGAGTGCTGGGATTAAAGGCGTGTGGCACCACGCCTTTATTCTAGATAAACCTACATTCCAGGAAAGCCAGGGATACACAGGGAAACCCTGTCTTGAAGAACCAAAAGAGCAAAAGGAAATGAACATGTCGATGTTCAAATATATACTGTTTCTTCAGTACAAATCTAACCTTTTGGTTTGTTTAGACCAAAAAAGGATGAGGTTTTATTTTATCATCATTTTCTTTTGTTAATTGTGTATTATAAACAGCTTTTCATCTCATTCAATATTTGAAACAAAACAAAGTTTGCTATGTCCAGCCCAGCTTCAGGGATTGAGCTGATTGGGACAGTAAAGGAATGGAGAGGACAGACACATGAGAAGAAAGCTGAGGTCAGCAGTTCTGAGAAGCTCACCGTGGTTGTTGTTACATACAGTGGAACACGGAGGCTTGGGGTGGATTGTACACAGCTTAATCAAGGAGACAGGATTTATAGTGTGTAGCTGGATCAGCCATACAGGGTTAGCTAGGTCACATGCATCCAATTCCCTGGAGCTGGAGTCAGAGGTGATTGTGAGCTTCCCAGTATGGATGCTGGGAATCCAACCCATCCCTCTGCAAGAATAGTACATGCCCTTAGCCACTGAGCCATCTTTTCAGCCTCACTTACTCTTCTGTCTTGCTTGGTAAGTAATTTCAGAGATACTTCTGTTTATGACACTTATCTTTGTTCCTGTCCTAGGTCTTGGGCTTGCTTTCAACTTGAACCCAGCTCTGACCATGATTGGCAAATATTTCTACAAGAAGCGACCACTGGCCAATGGGCTGGCCATGGCAGGCAGCCCTGTGTTCCTCTCTACCCTGGCTCCACTTAATCAGGCTTTCTTTGGTATTTTTGGCTGGAGAGGAAGCTTCCTAATTCTTGGGGGCCTCCTACTAAACTGTTGTGTAGCTGGATCCCTGATGCGTCCAATAGGGCCTAAGCCAGGCAAGATAGAAAAACTAAAGTCCAAAGAATCTCTTCAGGAAGCTATAAAATCTGATGCCAACACAGATCTCATTGGAGGAAGCCCCAAAGGAGAAAAGCGATCAATCTTACAGACAGTTAATAAGTTCCTGGACCTGTCCCTGTTTACCCACAGAGGATTTTTGCTGTACCTGTCTGGAAATGTCGTCATGTTTTTTGGACTCTTTACCCCTTTGGTCTTTCTTAGTAATTATGGTAAGAGTCAGCATTACTCCAGTGAGAAGTCAGCCTTCCTCCTTTCCATTCTGGCTTTTGTCGATATGGTAGCCAGACCTTCCATGGGACTTGCAGCCAACACCAAGTGGATCAGACCTCGGATCCAGTACTTCTTTGCTGCTTCTGTGATTGCAAATGGAGTGTGTCATTTGCTAGCACCTTTGTCTACAAGCTACGTCGGGTTCTGTATCTATGCAGGAGTCTTTGGATTTGCCTTTGGTTGGCTCAGCTCCGTGTTATTTGAAACACTGATGGACCTCGTTGGTCCCCAGAGGTTCTCCAGTGCTGTGGGCTTGGTGACCATTGTGGAATGCTGTCCTGTCCTCCTGGGGCCACCACTTTTAGGTATAGTATATCTCCCTACATTTTTAGTTTTGTTCTGGTTATAAAAGCAGCTCTGCCTTTAAAGCACAAGTGAAGAATAATAGAGTACATTTTAGTACTAGGCAGAAGAGTAGCTCTTTCCTAAGATGAGAGTACATGGGCGACTGTCCTAACCACTGTGTGTATCTTGGATCTAGAATTATTTTAGTAGCAGTTTTATAAGTGAAGTCAAAAGCTTCAGGAGGTGGGATAATTTGGCTCACTTGCATTAGTTTATCAGTCATTGTATAATTTGAGAACTCAGGTTACCGAACTCCTTTGTTTTGTTTTTCATTTTTTTCAAAGAGAGGTTTCTCTATAGTACTGGCTGCCCTGGAACTCAACTCTGTAACCAGGCTAGTCCCAAACTCAGCTCTCCCTGCCTCTCCTTCTCAAGTGCTGGGATTAAAGGGTGATGGTACACACCTTTTATAAGGACTGCCTGGACCTCCTGTCCTGTCCTGTCCGTGTCCTCCCTCAAGTGCTGGGATCATAGGCTAGTGCCACCAAACTTATAGATGGCTTTTGATAGTGTCCCTTTCCAGTTCTCCCCAGTGAACTGCTAAATCATATCAGTTTTCATCTCCCACTCTTTCTAATCTGCCCCCTTCTCTGTCATGACTACCATCCTTCTACAAACATTGTCCAGTTCCCTAATGTGGCTTCCAAGGGTGCAGAGTTTAGCCCTGTCTCTCCAACCTTGTTTCCTACCCTTGGCCTCTTGCTCTCTGCTCTAGGACCCACCCTTGCTTTCCTGCCCACACCCCTGTGCCTTTGCACTGGCTGTTCTGCCTGGACCCTCTCCATCCTCTTGTTCTTGACAGATCTGTCTTCCTACTCTCTCAGCCCCCAGGTGATGCTTCAGAAGCAGCAGCACTCCTCACTCACTCACTAGTGTCTGCCACCCATGTTCTGGTTCAGAACTCTCTCTGTAGCACTTGCCAGTTTGTGCAATAGTTAGCCCTATTATAGAGTTCCATTCACATTGGTCAGATGGCTAGGTTTCGTTATCATCAGACATCACAAACTTTTGGGAGAGGATGTGATGCCATTTTCCAAATTGTTTGGAGTAGAGAGGCTTCCTGTAGCACAGAGGTGGCGGTGCAGGCCCCAACTCAGGCTCTGTGTTCCCTTACTAGCCTTGTGACCTTGAAGAAGTTACTTAATATCACTATGCTTGAATTTCTGTAACTGCTGGAAAATACATTGGGGATGTGGTGCTTGAGAGGGTGGTGTTAGCTACAGAGCAAGTGTTCTGCAGAAATGCTGATAGAGAGCGTTGGCCTTGGTGACTAACATTGCTCTTTTTTTGTGGCCTTGGACACTCAAACTTCCTTTGAATTGTTTTTTCATTGTGCATTAAGAGAATGGGTTATAATCCCCATCTTCTCATTCAGATTTGCCAAGAATTGATTGTTTCCAATTAGAAAATAGAAAATACATGGGCAGTCAAAATCAGACACTGTAATAAGAAACTTTAGCAATTCATTTTTGTGCTAATGTGTTGTTTATGGGTTCTTTGGAGGTTGGTTTGGCATCTTTCTGAGAGGACCTTTACACTTTGAGTGGGAGAGGTGTCCTTATTGGCTTTTACTCATGTAGTCTTGTCTTCTGCATCTTTAGGCCGCCTCAATGACATGTATGGAGACTATAAATACACATACTGGGCTTGTGGCGTGATCCTCATCATCGCAGGTATCTATCTCTTCATTGGCATGGGCATCAATTATCGACTTGTGGCCAAAGAACAGAAAGCAGAGGAGAAGCAGAAAAAGGAAGAAGGTAAAGAGGACGAGATCAGCACAGATGTTGACGAGAAGCCAAAGGAAGTAACAAAAGCAACACAGTCCCCGCAGCAGAATAGCTCTGGAGACCCCACAGAGGAGGAGAGTCCCGTCTGAACTGAAGCATGAATAGAGCAGTGTGTGACCCAAGACATCTGAAACCACTCTGCTGGCCTCTAGTCTACCAGTGGTGCTCAATGCAGACAGTGGACATTTGTGTGGAAAACCTACCAGGTGTTCATTGGTGGAATTTTGTTTTGTTTTGTTTTGTTTTTGTTTTTGTTCACTCCTTACCAATGCCGGAATTGAAATTTACTATGCTTTAGGTAGGGAGTGGTTGGGAAAGGATATGGGAAAGAAGTAGGGATTTGTTTTTGTTTTGTTTTAATCTTAGCTTTTAACAGTGTCATGAAGATTATAATATGTGCCTTAAGTTTTAGTTTTAGAACTCTTTAGAGAGCCTTAACTTTTAAAATCATTCTGCTGAATTCATCTATTTTAAATGTTTTAAAAGGAAAAATAACAACTAACTTGCTTGAGGTAACTCTAACCTTAATCTTGTTTTGTTGTTGTTTGTAATACTTTGTCAGAAATTGTTACTGGAACATTTATGGATAGAAATATTAGTTAAAAGTTGGAGGTTTATAAAATACTGACTAAAGTATTTTTCTAGCATCATAGTTGCCTGTGGCGTAGGTGCCTGCTAGGTATATATTTATGAAATTTAAAGCATGAAATTCTGGAAGCATCTTGGCTGTTGTAGCCATAGTCTGACACCTGCTGGGTACTTCTCAGATGCTTACTACAAGCCTAGTGCTAGAATGTTGTCACTAAATTACTACCTTTGCTCCTGTTCAGACTGAGACATTAAGTGGTTAGAGGTCATTGCCATTTTTGATATCTACTGCAAAAAAGTTAGTATTAAAATCTACAAAACATTATTCAACACAGTCTGATTTAATATAGACAGACAGGTATTTCAGGCATCTGCTGAATTCAGCTTAGTTTTCCAAGACCCTAGTCATGATATAAAACTCTTGTAATCTTGGAGTATGTGTGGGTTTTGGGAGGTTTGGTGGTTCTGACTGAGGATTGAACCCAGGGCCTCAAGCATGCAAAGCACATGCTGTACCACTGAGCCACATCCCACAAGCACCCTGGAGTCCTCCTTAACCCTGAGACCTTTGATTTTTGATAGTTCCATTTATATTCTAGTTTAGAGCCGTATGTGAGATAGTCAGTATGGACTAAATGTGTGTGCTATTTTTGTTTTTTACATTGTTTTTCAGTATTTGCAAAACCAAGAGGGCCAGAGTTTGGCCCCAGGGAAGCCAATAAAGATAAAATAGGGAGGGAGTTTGCTGAGTTCACTTGGTTTCAGTAAGTACCCACCTCCCTGCCACATACAGCAAGGCTTAAAGAGAAACTTGTATCATGCTTTGAATTATTGGACATAGCCTTACCTCTACAAACCTTAGCTTTCATGACCCTTTTCACTTATCTAAAATATAGAAAATGGGTTCAGTGTAAGGAAAGGAGGAAGAGTGGGCTGGATTGGAATTGTAGTATTTTTTTTTTTATCCAATGTCTTCTAAATAGAGGCAGAAAAGATATATGACACTGAATTGTATTCAATGCATTTAAAATACCATTGTAATTGAGAGGGTGAAAATATCCATTTAAAACCTTGTAAGAAGACGACTTTTTCCAAATAAAACATTTATTTTATTTTTAGAAAACAGTTCTCCCACATGTTTATTTGAGAGACATTGTGCCTTCATTTTTTTATTTTCATTTTGACCTTTGCTAATGCTGAATTGTCCGGTTTATATGCCTTGAGACTTGTGCATATGGTTTACTGTATGTTGTTTTCTCCTTTATTTACACAGGCAGGGAAGGATTTTAAGTCCACATGTCTTCGACTGCTGTCACCTAATGCAGTTAGCTTTAAGACAATGGAAAACTGCTTTGCAATATATGTTGTGACAGGGTTTTAGAGAGGAGACCTTGAGAGTTTTGGTAGACATTCCAGTTTAGACTCTGCTATCTTCTGTGAAGCCATATTGAAACTCAGTGAACCTTTTCCCCCCCTTTGATGGTGCACACCTTTAATCCCAGTCCTGGAGAGGCAAAGGCAGGCAGATCTGTATGAGTTCAAGGACAGCCTGGTCTACAGAGCGAGTTCTAGGACAGCCACACAGAGAAACCCTGTCTCAGAAAAAGAAGAAGGAAGGAAAGAAATTTAAAACAAAATGAGAGTTTCTGTCAATGGCAGAATTTGAAGAAGCCACATCTATTCTCAGATGCTGAAGCTGCATTTGCAGGATAGGTGTGCTGCCTGTGCTCAGGGTTGAAACCCAGGATTTATTTATGTTGCACGCTCACTGTCACTCTTCAGAAAGGGGTTCTGAGCTGATAGTCGAAAGCCAGAGCTGCTCTAAAACTGGAACTTGAAACTAAACATTTTTGGTAATGATTCAGTAGTAAAGCCTGTGTGACACTTAGCACTGCCCTTCTCTGCCCCTCCTCATTCATTCCCTGTGCATTTATTGGCTTAGCTGTTCTGTAAATGAATCCTGGGGGGCAGTAGGCTCTCTGATCCTTGCCCATTACTCCTTGATACTGACTTCATTTGGAGTTTTGTTTCTGTTCACATGGTTATATTGGCTGTTTGATAAGATGTGAGTATAAGCATGAACCATCACATACAATACAGTGGGAAAATTGAGAAGCAATTTCAAATCATTGTACTGTAGACCACACTGCATAGGGTCACATCCTAGGCAGGGCTTTCTCCAACCCCTCCCATGTATTTTCTTCCTTGTTCTCATTCAAATTCACGGCCTCTTCTTTATAATTGTTACATGTGTATATGCCTGAATACAAAATACAGACTGCTCAGTCCATATGATAGTACTTGTGTGTTTCTTAGGGATGACCATTTGGTATTGAATAACTAGTTTCTCTGCTCTTCCCACATTAGCATGCCTGTCGGTGTCCTTGTTCATGTATCTTAGAGTCTTACTCTATGGACCAGGCTAGCCTGGAACTCAGATCCTCCTTGCTCTGCCTCCCAAGTTCTGGCATTAGAGGTGTACACCATCATGTGTTGAATTTCAGAGTGAAAGACTAGGTATTGGTTGCATGTTTATCTGAAAACCTGAGTATCTTGAGTCTCACTCTCCCTAGCACACAGTTTACAATACAGCAAATCAAGTCAGGCACAGTGTCTGGAAGACATGAAGAAAGAAGTTAATGATAGACTTGGGTAACTGAATGAATGTGTGAGTGACTTGACGGGAAATAACAACCCAAGCTTGCCAGGCCTGAGGCCAAGTTGTATCTGGGCTAGAGATTGGTGGGGGAGGGTGTAGTACATTGCTATTTGCCACCCTTTCTTATGCAGCCCTGGCTGCCCTGAAACTCAGTTATATAGACCAGGCTGGCCTTAAACTCACAGAGATACCCCTGCCTTTGGGATTAAAGGCTTTGCCCTAGGCTTTTAGATTCAGTCACCATTTACTCCATTCTCTGGGCAAGGATGACATGAACTCAAATGACTCAAACGTGCAAAGGATAGCATGTGTGAATACAGAGTGTGGAGGTTGAGTTTGTTGTTTTTTTCCGTATGTATATGTGTGAAATCTGTAAATTTGGACTCAGGTACTCAAGCTTGCTCATCAAGCTCTCTTATAGTGAGCTGTCACCCCAACCCCGTAAAAGTGTCAAATATGAAGAACATTAGTTTACTTTGTACTGACTTTTAACCCTGTCTGGGTTCAAGTTGAGGTTCAAACAAGTTCCTTACCCTCCTTGAACATCAGTGTCCCACATCAAGTATTAATAGTTGGTGTCCACCCCCGGGGGTTATAGGAAACAAGTTCTTTGCAGTGGTCTGTGGCTCCTTGTTCATCTGTTCTAATATCACTTTACCTCTACGGGAAAGAAATGCCCTGCTCACAGCAAATATAAGAAATATAAGGAGTAACTGACTTTGGCTAAAATTCAAAGATGGAAACAATTTTTCCCTACCACCTCCATGATTTACTTGTTTTGCAGTACTGGAGGTAGAGTACAGAGCCTTGTACTCACAAGGCAAACATTCCACCACCAGTATATGAGAGGGGTTGGTTTGGTTTGATTTGTTTGGCTTGTTTTAATTGTAACCCACCACCATGCTGTTTTATTTACCATACAATTAATTTCCTTGCTATATGTTAGGAAATTGAACCCCAAAACACATACTAGGCACATGTTCTACCACTGAGCCCTAACCCTAGCCTTAGAAGAAAAATGTAATATGGCCTTGGCTTTCAAGAGGGGATTAAAAGAGAAATCCTCATGTGTTTGCTACAAAAAAACAGTTGTCTCTGAGCAAATGAAGCCAGAGTTAAGTGTGTGTTACAGGCAGAAAGATAAACAGTTTGAGCCAGTACACACCTATAATCCCAGCACTCAGAGGCAGGCAGATCTCTAAATTCAAGGCCAGCAAGTTCTAGGACAAGCTCCAAAGGTGCAGGGGAAAAGTTTGAGCCAGGGAAGCGAAAGGGATAGCTCAGGGCTAAAAAAGATTCTTGACCTTTGAGATTTCAGGTTTGATTTCACAACTCTTCCTCCAAGTCTAAGGGTTCCCACACCCTCTTCTGGCCCCTGAGGGTACTTGTACTTATATAATACATAATTAAAAATAAAAACCAAAAAGCTGGAGGTCAGTATTAGCTTTAATTCCAGCACAGAGGCAGACAGACAGGTCTCTTGAGTTAAAAGCCAGCCTTATCTGCAGAGCAAGTTCCAGGACAGCCTGGGCCATACAGAGAAACCGTGTAGTGGGGGGAGGGGGGGGGGCTAGAAGTCAGCCTGAGCTACAAGAAAACCCTACCTCAAAAAATTACAGTTTTGGGAGACAGGGTTTCCTCTGTAGCCTTGGCTGTCTTGGAACTGGCCTTACTCTGTAGGCTAGGCTGGCCTTGAACTCAGAAATCTTCCTGCCTCTGCTTCCCAAGTTGGTTGGTTGTTTAAACAGGCTGGAGTTGAAGTCCATATCCTGACCAGTCAGGTTATTGTTTTCCTTCTCCAATAATTGCAATCCGGGAAAATGGAGATGAGCATGACATGTAACTCAGGACTGGATGAAAGCTGTGGAGTAGAGTGCATTATCAACCTCCCAGGCTGACCCCAAGGCCTCCTTCCTGCAGGCAGATGTCTGCATTCCTCTGGTTCCCTTCTGAGCAGCCAGCCCAGGTGAATGATTAACTCAGGAGGCCAGAGGCCCACACTCACCCCCTCAGTGTTGAACATTACCATCCTGCGATCAGCATCAGAAATAAACACTAATGACACAGAAGGGTAGGGCTGAGAATAGCTCAGTGATAGAGTTGCATGCCTTGCATGCAGTAGGCGACAGGCCCAGTCCCTAGGACAAACAAAAATATCTTAACAGGTAACCTACAGCCAACTCTCCCCACCCCCGCCTTTTTCTTTCTTTCTTTCTTTATTTTTAATTATGAGGATCTTACATATTTTAGGCTGGTGACCTCAAACTCACTGTGCAGTTAAGGTTAACCTTGGAACTCACATCCTCCTCCCTCTAATCCATACTGGGATTCGAGGCATTTGCCATGTCTGGTGCTGGGTATTGAGCCCAGAATCCGATAGGTTCTGTTTTAGCACTATCAGCTGAGCTATATCTGCCCAAAGGTGCTTTTGAGCAAAGTCACTTGAACAGGATATTGCTTCGAGGAGTGAGAACATGCAGCATACTGTTGCGTGTAAGGTAGTTTTAAAAACCTAGGTGCTGGGCATGATGACTCATGCCTGCAAAACCAGCCTTTAGGTTTGGGGGGAAGGATTTTTGTCAGTTTGAGGCCTGGAGGCAGCAGAATAAAATAGTTGGTAAAGTGCTTGCCTCACAAATAAGACCAGAGTTTGAGCCCCAGAATACATTATTACTGGTCTGCTTGCAATCCCCAGTGCCTGGGAGGAAGAGACTGTAGCGCTGGGCTCACTGTCTAGCCAGTTGTAGCCTAATTGGTGAAAGCTAATGAGAGACCCTCTTGGAGGGAATGAGATGGTGCCCTGAGAATGCCGCGTGAGGCTGTACTGTGCATCCATGTTCAAGTGTGCTCACTCCCATACACAAAACAATGTTTTGTTTTTTTTTAAAGGAAGAGTCCTTGAATATTCTGTGGTGCCATGTGTCAAATCATCAGTCAAGAGCCCGAGAAACACTGAGTAAAGAGCAATTGGTAAGGACTTCCCAAATATATTCGCCCTCTGAAAGAGCTGAGTCTGCATCCTGCCTGGTCAAGCATCTCCCTTGTCAGAAGAGGCCAGAGCAAGAGCTGGAGATTGTGGCAGACAGAGGTTCTGGAAATAAACAGGAACAAAACAGGCCAAATCTTGGGGATCTCAGGGCCAAACTCAAGCATCCCACACAAAGTGAAGTGGCTTCTGTCCCCAGCGATGCATAGTCCAGTTTGTGATCCTTTCCCTTGGCTTTGAAATTCATAACATGATTGTTTTTTTTTTTTTATTTGTGGATTTCCTTTGCTAATATGCTTTACTGATTCCAGAACTAAAACTTAGCATTTCCTGATCTTATGCTGGCCAGATCCCAAGAGGAAATAGCTAGAAGCCATTAAGAGGGTCACGGAGGAACTGGGCTGGGATTAAAAGTCACCTGGCGTGGGGACAGTGTGTGTGTCACCTGGCGTGGGGACAGTCTGTGTGTCACAGTCTG